ATGATTCTGACTTGGAAGAACCCAGTGAGACAACTGAAACAACACCAAGTGCCTCTGTGAAGGAATTTACTGAAAAGGAAAAGCTAAGTGTACTCATTCTCTCATACATTGCCAAACATAAATTGAATGGAACTGCCTCTTCTGACCTTCTAGATCTTCTGAAACTAATTACCCCAGAGGATAACAATCTATGCTCTCTGAATCTCAGTGAAATCAAAGAAATGCTTGGAAACTGTGTGGCAAATGTGTATGATTATTGTGGAAAGTGTTTTTCCATCTTTCCAAAAGATGAAGATATCTACCAATGCCGAACCACTGACAGTGAAGGAAATCAATGCACAGGATTATGATATCGTGGTAATTTACGAAATCAAACTAAAAAACAGAAAAGCTTGTATTTTGTGACAGTTTCGATAGAACAACAGATATGTACACTCCTGGAACGTAATGGTATTTGGACAAAAATCCAGCAGTACAAAAAGCTGCCAAGTTCTTCAAATATCAGAGATATTGTTGATGGAACAGAGTATAAAAAGTTTAAGCAAAATGGAGGATTTCTTACCAATGAAGACCACTTAACTTTGCTTTTCAATACAGATGGTATTCCTTTGTATAAGTCCACAAAAATCAATATATGGCCAGTTTTCCTTGCAGTTAATGAACTTCCACCAGAAGAACGGTTTGCAAAGGAAAATATGATTCTCTGGGGCCTCTGGCAAGGGAAGGGAAAGCCACAGTTTTCAACCTTTTTTGAGGTATTTACTGATGACCTTATTGCTTTAAAACACAGAGGCTTTACTATCATGAACAAGTTTCATCCAAAGCTGATGCTTTCTTTAGGAACTACAGACCTACAAGGAAAGGCTTATCTTCTGTCCATGAGTCACCACAACGGTGTTTGTGGTTGCATAACTTGCGAGGAAGAAGGTTTCACTACAAAGAAGGGTAAAGGACATGTGCGATGTTATCCTTTTCGAGATCCTCCTTCTACATCACGAACCACTAGTAGTGTGCTACAGAATGCCTTGTCTGCAGTGGAAAATAACACAAGAGTAAAAGGATTCTATGATGTTACTCCACTGGCAAAGCTCCCTTGGTTTGACCTTGTACTTGGCATAGTTCCAGATTATATGCATGGTGTGTTGCTGGGAGTAACAAAACAATTCCTAAACCTCTGGTTGTCTGCATCAAAATTTAAAAAGCCATGGTTTATTGGTAATAAAACAAAAGCAATAGAGAAAAGACTTAAAGACATGAAGCCACCTGACTTTATTCAAAGACTTCCTCGACAACTGGAAACAAGCCGTGCCTATTTTAAGGCATCTGAACTTCAAGCATGGTTACTTTATTACTCAGTTCCATGTCTCATTGATATCTTACCTCAAAGGTACCTTGAACATTTTGCTTGCTTGGCGGAAGGTGTTTACATATTGCTTGGTGATTGCATAACACCAGACTTGCTTTCTCTGGCTAGAGATCTTTTATCCACATTTTACAAGGATCACCAAATTCTTTATGGAGATAATAACTGTAGTCTCAATGTTCACAATGTTGGGGCTCACCTTACAACATACGTGCAATCTTGGGGACCTCTATGGGCATGGTCTTGCTTTCCGTTTGAGGATTTAAATGGAGCCTTGCTGGAAAGTGTTCATGGAACAGGGAATCAATGTCAGCAGCTAATCTGGGTGTTGTATGCTCAAAATAGCCTAAGAGCCAACTGTCATTTTATATTTGATTCCTGATAAGAAAAAAAGATTGTTTGTGGAGAAAATGCTTTCAGGAGAGAGGAGTCTGCGTAATGTGAAATCAGCCTCAAACTGTCAAATTGCTGGAGCTCTGAGGAGGTGGACAGTCAAAGAGAACATTTTTGAACAAGCTTCATTATTATTGAACTTGAGTAATTCAAGCAGTCCAGTCTTTCAGGAAGCTAAGCGTGTTATTGTAAATGGTCACATTATTTATTCAAGAATGTATGAAAAGATGAAGAAACATTGTGGATATGCAGTTCTCATTGAACATGAAGGAGAAAATTTCATGGCCTTTGTACAGTATTTTCTTTATGAAAGTAACTCAAAAACTGTTTTTGCTGTTATCAAACGGATTCTTTTAGATTTTGAAAAACCCTTTTTTGTCTGTGAGAAACCACGTCACCTTCTCAGAATTGCAGGTGAAGAGGACGAACACAAAGTTGTTCCAGTGGATTGTGTACTGGAAAAAATCTTATATCTTTCAGGAAATCCGATCCACACATGTGTATCAAGAGCGCCAAATTTTTGTGGCCATTGTCGCTGAGTCATAGCTATAGATTAGTAAATTCAGTAGGCAACTCAAAGGTAAATTTATGATAGTTAAAAGTGTCTGCTTCTGGACAACCAGGTTGAATGTCAGTTAATAGTTTTATAGGGAATATATTTATATGTATACATATAATTACACATCTTATTTGACAATGTGTGGCAATAGTTGCCACATCACTACATGTTGCGACTTGATAATAATAATTATTATATTGATTACAGTGTAACATGTGCCACTTATAATTGTTGTTTTTAACCTTAAAAGACACTTCGTTTTACTTAATAATGGAATTCAGATTTTTTTGATGTTCATGGATTCAAACTTTTGAGCCGTTCGAAACTGGCAGGCAAAATTGCAGTGTTTGATTGCCTAAGGGAAGCCAGTTTTGGTTGAAAAAAAAATAAGGAGTCAAGAGGATTAAGGATTTGAGAAATCAGGATTAACAGGTGAAGGGTCTTGTCAGCAATGCCTAATTTTTTCTTGGGAATTTAATGGGAAAATTTACAATTTTTTAGAACAACTTAAAATATTGGAATGTTACTTTACTAGCAGTTTTGAATTAGAGGTACATATTTCTTGACGGGTTTAGAATTAGATAATAAAATGATAAAATTAAATATCTTACGAAAACTGCAAAAAGCTGGAAATTTAAGTGTATTCCTGACCATAGGTATTAAAATTACAGTTTTTCTAGTTTTCTGGAAAAGAAAAAAACTAGAAAAAGCTGTAAATTTCCAGAAATTTCTAGAAATTCCCAGGTGTTGACAGAAAGCTAGAAATTCATTTTCCAAGGGTAGCCTTTTTGATCAGTTGAATAGCATGATCAATAGTGTCATATTGAACACGTGTGTTGCGGGGAAATACCATCATTAACAGATGATCCCTTTGGATCACCTTCCTGGTTGGGAGAAGAAACTTGAAAGGCAGAGAATGGCAGAGATTCAAATACGTCAGTCCATTTAACTAGAGTTCTTTGTGAAGTTTGGTGTCAACAACTGTTGGATTTTGCAAAGCTGACTTTAAATTATTAGAAGTGGATGATGTATATTCACCCTCAAAGTGTAAAGGAAAGCCATGAGTAAAAGAAGGGTGTTACGAAAACTAAGACCCTCGAAAACTAAGACCTAAGACTCATCTTAGTTTTCAAAATTACGAAAACTAAGACCCCCTTAAATCAAATCCTTCGAAATATGAAGTCAAATTGTAATCGAAATAGGCCTCATCTGTCAAATTCTCCTCTGTCTGATTCTTTTCACCCAGTTTTAGGTCAAATTTAATAGCAAATTCAGGGATCTCAGTTTTCATGATTTCGAAAACAAAGACCCCTCTTAGTTTTCGTTATTACAAAAACTAAGACCCCCTAAGAAAAACATTCCGTAACATATATATGAAGTCAAATTATGACCCTTCAAAGAATATAATCCATAAAACAACCAAAAACTATCATCCGCGTGCTCACGATCCACTTCTTCTAATTATTTGCAGAAATCAGAGCGTGAAAGGCATTACCTGTGTATAATTGTACACTGAATTTTAATATGCCTACCCTCTCTAATTTTGGTTGTTTATCCTTAAAGATCAGAAAATTGGCTTTTCACTGGAGATGGATTTTTGCCTTCGTTGCCGGCTGACATGTTGCTGCAACCCTGATTGCGTTACCCGAATATATTATAATGGCTTTCGACCGTCAAGTGGTTAATTATCGGTTTAAAAAATAACACGAAAATGCTGGGGTTTTTTCCCTTTTTTGGCCATGCCATAGCCAGAAAAATGTTTTCTCAAAAAGGGCGAATAAAAGATGTATACACTACATTGCGTTTTTAAAGAGTTTGTTTTTATTGCTGCCACCTGGAGATCACGGGAAACAAAAGTTACAATGTAAGGGGTAGTTGAGGGGTAGGTTGGGGGCAAGGAGAAATAGTCTGTGAGGGATACCGGCTAAAAACACTTATTTGATAAACCATGAATGAATGAATAAATTTCCTGTACTAGCAAGGCATCATCTCCAAAATTTTGCGTTTTAATTTCAGAAAAATTAAATAAACAAACAATCAAAACAAAACACCCCTTAGGTGATTTTTATTTTCAGTGTACAATTATACGCAGGTAGTCTATGGCTTTTCGTCCTCTTTTTAAAGCCTAAACTCCTTTTTAAAGCTTAAACGGTCTTAATTTGACTTCATATATATATTGCGGATTGGTTTTTAAGGGGGTCTTAGTTTTCGTAATAACAAAGACTAAGAGGGATCTTTGCTTTTCAAAATTACGAAAACTAAGACCCCTGAATTTACTGTTAAATTTGACCTAAATCGCAGTGGAAAGAGTCGGACAGAAGATAATTTGACAGATTAGACCTATTTCGATTAAAATTTGACTTCGTATTTTAACGGATTTGATTTTAGGGGGTCTTAGTTTGCGTAATCTCGAAAACTAAGACGGTTTTAGGTCTTAGGTCTTTTTTTCGTAACACCCAGTAAAAGAAAGCCATTAGTAAAACCAGGAAGCAAAAAATTGGCAGTGGAAGGGAGTACCTGTCAAGGAAAAATTTTAAGTGCTCAGCTTTTACTGGTGTTGGCAGACTGGATTGTGGAGAAATTGTTAGGTCGGGGCCTAATTTGGGACTGCTTAGATGAGTCAGGGAAATTACGCTTCGTTACTGGGTGGGAGCCATCACATTTAAAGCATGAATGCTTGTAAGGACAGCCAGATTGAATTTCCAAGCTTTATAAAAACGAAAACAATAACCCTTTGGGACAGGATCTGGCTCAAGTTTGGATGAAAAAGAAGCAGTAGGTGGGGACTGTTTGCGAACCACAGCCTGTGACTTAAGCCATAATTCACCATGGATTCTGTCCCAAGGCATGGAGGCGTGGTTTGCTTGTCTTAAAATCGCAAAGTCGTACCATAAATTTTCCTACGATGGCCCTCCTCCCAAATCCTGTACGATCTCCCCATATTTCACGAGGGTGGGGGCCTTTAAGGGGAATTTTTTTTGGTATAAGTTCCCACAACAACATGAAAGCTATCCAGCCACCATTCAACAGTGAGGATTTTCTATGGCCTTGGCACAGGCTCAAGGCATAAAGAAGTAGGACCGCTGTCACCTCCTTGAAAAGTGAAGCAGTACTAGTTGTCAAATATAGGGTTGGTTAGGAAACCACCAACGTCAATATAATCCTGGTTCTATACTTTGTCCTTATTATGTACTTCCATGGTGCAATGGTTCAAAGGATTGAGTCGACGGCCAAAATCAATGAGGGCTGTGGCTTGCTATATCGACTGATGTCAGTGAAGGTAGTAACAAGACGGAAACCACCCGAAGGCTTTTTGATGAGGAAAGAAGGATTAAGGTATTCAGGGGAGCTGACGGTATACTGGCCATTGCTCCAGCTCGTCATATTTCTCTTGTAACTCTGCCAGCCTGTGGCAGGAGTACTGAGGAACGCCGCCCTTGTACTGGGGCAGTTGAACAGGACCCATGTTTACAGTGGCCTCAACAGGGCCAGCGACGCCATTGTTCCCTACAATTGTGGAATTAAAGACGTCATCATTGGCTTGGAGCACTGCTTGGTCGGATGTGGAGTCAGTGGCTGTGGTGAGATGTACAGAGGTGTTCATGGTGTTGAATAGTTCGTGGTTCATTAGTAAGTTTCACTTTGCAAATCTTCTTGGCCACAGCTTCGGTAATATATGGCTGAGGTTAGAGTTGTGATACCCTGGCACTTTGGTTAGACAGAGCATCAGTTCAGACCTCTACAGCTAGGGTGCAGTCAGGGCCTAAGTCAGGAGGGATGTCCATTTCGAGGAAGTCACCTGCAAAGGCAACAGAGGTTGACATGGAGGAATGCAATACAGAAGAGTGGGTGCAGCAAACTGCTTAGGCAAAGGAAATGGTTCTGGACTGTGTCCTGTAGAGAATAACTTTGGAACCCTGAATAAGAACTCTTTTGGCAGGGCGGACTGAGATGTCATTGCCAATCTGGCTAACACGTCCATGTCCAAATCTGCAATGACGAGAGCATCAAATGTGAGATGCTTATCAGCATTGTTTTACATACATACATTTTATTTTATCGTTTTGAGGTAAAAGTACAATAACATGCCTGCGAGTAGCTAAGCTAATCTAGGCGGGTCATGTTTACAGAAAATCAATGCAACTAAATACAGCTAAAAGTAACAAGAGAACTAAAGAAACTAAAATTGTCAACAGTGATTAGAGACTACTGATAAGCTAATGGTATTACTAATAATAAATGACAACAGTTATGACAAGAGACTTTAACTGATACACTAAACGATATTAATGATTACATATCAACTCAGAGGAAAATAAATTCAACTTAACTTTTTGAACGATTTCTTGGAGATCAATATAACAGTCTTCTGAAGCTAGGATCTCAAAAAGTGCTTGTTTTTTTTTACTCTCAAAGGCATTTTTTGAAAGTTTTCTTAAAGATACAGGCATTTCATTCCGTATTTTGGTTCCGATTCTAGAAAATGAATTCACTTGAATTGAGAGTCTGGAACTTTGTGTGTAAAGGTTATTAGAGGCAGAGAATCGAGTATTTAAGAGGCAGTGTCAGTAAAAACCGCCCACTCAATTTCGCGTGAAACTCTGGTGGATTAAAGCCCTTATTAGGACTATAACTAAAATAGGTTTGCTTTGATTCAAAGTTATTTTCTGGCCGCGCTAAGAAGCACGAATTTTTTTTGCCCGCCATGGCCATACAGTGGAACCCCGTTAATACGACCACCTTCGGGCCATGAAAATTTGGTCGTATTAACGGGGTGGTCGTATTAACGGGGTAGGGTCAAATTATGGTGCAAAATGCTTTTAAACTACATTCTACTACATGTATACCTTTAATCCGTTATAAATCAACCTTTTTGGTAGTTAATTAACAACCTTACAACCGCAATTCAATGCAACTGAACAATCTAACAGTAAACGAAACCGAGTAATGAGAAAAAACACTTGCTTCTTTCAGTTCCTTGTTATGAAAGGAAAGGGCTTGTGATTTGTCTCGAAGAGCCGTTTTCTATATCGTAGCTTACAACGCTTTCACAATTATTACAAAGTTCAAAGTTCTGGGAGAAAAGAAAAGGAAATGGACTTGAAGAGAAAAGCCACAGTGGAAGGCAGCAGAAACAAGAAGGCAAAATAACTTTGAGAGCCTCGAAATGCTGCAAAGTGAAGTC